GATTACCAGAAACAGTTGTACCAGGAACATGTTCTTCTCAAATCTCAAATGTGCTGGTTATTGTGAAGAAAGTTCTCAGCTTTTAGAAGAGGTTAAAGCTATGGGGGAAAAAATAAGTTAACATTAAAGAACCTACTGAATAATAATCCAACAGTAACAATTAGAATATCTTAAGAAAACAATATTAATTAGAAGAATTTTTATTTTCATCAACGTTTCACACTCCCCAGTAGGTGGTGGAAATGCACCAAAGCTGGCTTGCCAACCGCCAGAAAATCCAAACGAAGAAGAAGAAGAAGAGGAAGACGAGATACTGGCTGCGTTCGAAATCGCATACTCAATGAGTAGGTACTTAATTTCAATACGTACTTACTTAACGAGTGCTAAAAGAGTACGTACTCTACAGCCAAATCTCGTTAAGTATGAATGAGATCTGGACTACATCCGCCATGTTGACGTTATCATGTGACCTATGACTTCTTCTTCTTCTTCTTCTGGTATTAATGGCGGTTGGCAGACCAACTTGAATGGTGCATTCCCGCCACCTACTGGATAGGAGTGTGGAGCACATAATGGTTGCGAAGTTGGAAAACAATAACACAAATGACAATGGGGGAGGGGAGAGAGAAGGAGGGGGAAAAAAAACTATTTTAATACAACGGTATCTTAAATTCTATTAATCAGTCTTGTTTCTTTTAGGAAAATAATTAATTCATGAAATATTCTTGATTGCTTTGTGCCATTTCCTAACAGAACCTGAGGTGACAAGTTATTTATTCCCAAAGATCTTAAAGCTTGAATTAGTTGAAATCTTGCGCTTTCATATGCATCACACTCAATAAGTACGTGTTCTATTGTTTCAACATGACCACATTTATCACAATTTCCAGTTTCATGCTTTCCCATTCTATACAGACACTGATTTAACAAACAATGACCAATACGCATTCTTGACATTAAAACGTCATCTTTTCTATTACCAAACTTTCTTCTTTATAGACCTACCTTCTCTTGAATGCGATAAAAATGTCTATGTGACCTATGACATTACAAGCGCAACAACTTAAAAGATACGAGCGACAGGTTTAATTCATCTTATCTATAAATATTTTGATGTGGATGAAATTTGCTCATTTTGTGGTCTTGTTGAAGAAACAGCTGCCCTTTTATTGTGATTGTAGTACAACCAAAAAATATAAAGTTTTTATATTTTTAACCCTACTAATATGACCCACAGTTTTATCCTTAAAGATATTATATTTTATTATTAAAATCCCAAATTGTTGTCTTTTCAATATGTTGTTAATTTCTTTATATTATGTTCAAACTCTTTCATCTACGAGCAAACCAGCTTAAATCTTCTTTGTTTTCCTCTTTTTCTTGTTGAATTTAACTTTTTGTTTCATCCCTCAGGCTTATAAATAGCAACATCAACAACAATTGTGCTTTTTTTCTGTGTATATATTCTCATACTAAGATGTACGCAAACCCATTATATTTATGTTTTATATTATGATTGTTCATTGTTAAAGATACAACCATCTTTCCCTGAGCTTGTATGTAATTAAAAGTTCTGCAGTAATAATAATAAAGAAGAGGGACAGGTGCACTATCACCTCATAGGATCAGTAACTCCACAACCCTATCTAATACAGTTTTCTGCAGCGTTTGCAATATCTGCAGCTGCTTGAAGATCTTGCCTTTGGAGAAGACTGCTAATATTACACTCGAAAAACGTAAGTATTACTTACTTAAAAAATAAGATTACCCCAGAATGCATTGCTAGCCCACCCCAACACTTACAACAATAATGATAAATGCTGACCAATAATTAATTAATTTTATATATTTTTTTAGTAAAACAAGCTAAATGTAATTTGTTTTGTCATATGCCATAGTTATGCATGACTACACACTAGACAAATGCAGCCAAGGTGAATATATCTAAATTTTCAGTCAAGTAATGAATTAATGCGTAAGTTAATGCAACAATTATATTTTAACAACAGGAAACATGAATAAATGAGTAAAAGAATCAATAAAAGTAACCATGACAATAAATAAATACAAGTCAATGACACATGAAACAAAGCTTTATTCAGTCTTATTCTCATAATCATGTATTTATCATCCTTCTCTTCACTCTCTGAGACAGAAGTCTCCAAACTCATCCTTTCTAATCATCCTACTACTTGTCCGCTTGATCCTATTCCATCTCGTTTTTGGCTTGTGATGTCGGAGCCTGCGCTGTTATCTCCACCTACTGGAAACTTTTTCAGGCTTCTGATTGGCCAACATGGCTTTACGGTTGAGATTATATCGCCACCTGTTGGTTTGGCATGCTCTTGACAGTGCTTCATAGCATGCGTTTGCGTTTTCATGTGGACAGAAATTTTTTTAAAAACGGAAGAAGGAAAAACTCAGTTTATAAAAATACCCGTGTACGTGTGGACATGGCCTTAATTCCGGTGTTTCCCCCATTAAGTTGTCAGTTATTGCATGTATTGATGTTTGTTTATGTTACGCCTGTGAGCATAACGCCTGTTACTTCCTTCTTTGAGTTCCCTATTCAATTCTAAAAGTGGATTATTCGCCTCATCTTAGTCTTCCTTGCTGCAGCTACGTAACAGTCTAGTCTTCATGCTCTATCTTGACTATGGTTTCACTAATAATAAGCATACATTTGCATAAAGCATCCATATTTGTCCATGCCCATGTTGATTAGAGTATTCAAAGCTTTAAAAAAAAATTAATTTAAGGTACATTTAGAACAGATAAAAATGTGCGATTAAGTTGCAATTAATCACGAGTTAACTTATGACAATCATGCGATTAATCACGATTAAATATTTTAATCGATTGACAGCCCTACTGCAAATATATGCTGTATACGGTTGAGCAATTGAAAGGTTCTTCAGAGTTGTTTCTTTCAAATGAATCTGAATAACCAGTTTAAAAAGAGTTTAAAAAGAGATCAATCAGTGTTTCCGAATATCACACAATGTTTTTTTTTTTTACTGGAAACTCACTAACAGAAGATGCTGTTAGTGTCTTTGGATCCAAGTTATTTGGATGCTTGTCTTTAACATCACAAAATTAAGTCATGTGCGATTAGGGGTGTTCGTTATGATGATTTTTGATCTTGGACGATTAAAATGTCTCCACGATCCGAATTTGAAAAAATATCATAGTATCATGCTACAGCACACCGACCATCGAAATATACGGTACAATGCGACATACATTCCCATCAAATGTTATCTTCCAGTTGAGTAACACTCACTGGACACTGCATTTATTCGCAGTCAAAAAAGTACATTATTTGCATTTGCAATATTTGTATGTTTGCTGTAAAGCCTTGCCAGTTAAACATTTCATTCACGTGCAGTTCTGATGTGCTCTTTTTCTGAGCGTGTACACCTGAAGTGCACACACTAGAACTAAGTTATGTTTTGTGTCTGATTGAGCTAATACTGTCAAAAACACACAAGGATTACATATAAAGACAGTTGGTTATGTCTAAAGAGAAAGTAAACAGCTGAGAGAAAATGGATGAATGCCTGTACAGTATATTAGATGCATGTGTAGAAGATTTTTATTGGTTAAAATATGAATTGTTCGAGTGTAATCATTATGAATATAACCATTTATATATCCAGTTATTCTTCCATTATAATCACATATGCCTGTGTGGAAAATGCCTACGTGGCTAAAGTAGACAGACCCTCAGATGAGAAACATCTGGAAAAATAAAAGTGGGCTTTCTTTCTTTACCATAACAAGACTTGGGGGGGCCCCTTCTCTAGGGAAATATCGAATTATATGCATAAAGAAAACTGTATGGAAATATACCCCACGCCTTAAAGTCAAAACTGTATATAAAGAGAATCAGAAAGACATTCTGGAGATGTTTTCAGAAGAGAACTTCTCCACTACAAATAGTAGTGTCGTCTGCTGCTCATCTTAGGAACCACACTCAGTCTTGGGTTTTTGATGCCAGAAGATACACTTTATTACATCATTAAGAATAAAGTGGAGATGTTCTCTTCTGAAAACATCTCCAGAATGTCTTTCTGATTCTCTTTATATACAGTTTTGACTTTAAGGCGTGGGGTATATTTCCATACAGTTTCATATTTTAACCAATAAAAATCTTCTACACATGCAGCTCTTAATCGAAAGTACTAAAAATTGTCATTAAAGGGACAGTTCACCCAAAAATTACATTTCTGTCATTATTTACTCACTCACATGTTATCCCAAACCTGCATTAATTTCTTAAAAGACAAAAGAGGATATTGTGAAGAATGTGACTTAAAATACTAATGGAAGTAACTGGTAACATAAAATACTATGGAAGTAACTGGGGACTAGCAACTGTTTGGTTACCCACATTCTTCAAAATAAGTTTTATGTTTAACAGAAGAAAGAAACTCACTCGGGTTTAAAAAAAAAAAACTCGAGAGTGAGTAATTGATGATAGAATTGTCATTTTTGGGTGATGGTAATATATGGTAATGTTACCTTGCAAGGCTTTGTTTTTAAAATAGGAAAATTAGTTTGGCTGTACTGCTCAGACAACTTGCCAAATAGTAAAACCAACATGACAAAGAATCGTGATAAAACCGTGAATCGTTATATTTCTGCAAAAAACCGTGATATGATATTTTTGCCATATCGCCCAACTCATGTGCAATTTTCATTTATCATAAGGCTCCCGCCATCCTGGAAAATGGTTCATATTTGAATTATTTAGCCTGGCCCATGTAAAAAAAAACTGTTCTCGTGTCTCTGTATTGTAAGCCTCCATAGGGATTGCATTTGGCTTGGGTCCTTCTTTCATTGTAAATCCTTGGGATTTTTAAAAATCTTTTGCTATCATCCACAAAGCAGATTCTTGTCTTTAGCAAGCACCATTAACTATAAAAACCAACAGCTGCAATACATATTAGGACAATGCTGGACATCTCTTATATATGTTTTATTATTATTGAGCCAGAGACAAACCAAGCAAGTTAGTTTCCATATATGAGATTAGGTGGGAATGGAGGTGATTTTAGTGCTCCCAATGTCAGTGTCTGCAGATCTTCTTATCATGGATAATGTTTCCTTTCTGCACCACCTATCCCAAAGGCAAATGTTTGCCAGCTGGTTTGGATGGTATTCAAGATTTGCTTTACTAGATTTGATGCCCTTGGGAAAACCGTCAGTTGGCTCTGTAAAACACAGAGAACCTGAGAGAAAGTCAGAAGGAGAAAGGTTTTTAAGTTTTTAATCAGAATCCTAAATATATTGTGATCCTGATTTTTGTTATACTTGGATTTTCTCTAATGTAGTAATGAATAATTTTGTTTGTATGAATATTTCTGTGTGTAATATTACTGCGTGTAATAATATTGCATACAGCAGGTTTCACATTTCGATTCTTGTTTGAATCCCAAACACCATGAACATTTGATACACATTGGAAGTGTTCGATTTCATCTAAGCTTGGTTAATCAGTAATGGTTTTGAAGGATTACAGTAGAACTAATTAAAACAAATTGTGTTTGTATGTTGTTCAGATGAAAGCCAAATCTGGGACCACTACATCAACTGTGGAGCACGTGAAAAAATATTTCATGCCATATTTCTCTGCACACATTTTCTTTCTTAGAAATATTCTGAAGTTTCTTTGATTGGGTAAATGCACCTGTTTTGTTTGCTCTGTCTGTAAAGGTGTGCTTTGATTGTTCACACCATCACACTCATTTGTCATTGGCTGTATGTCAGTTTAAGTAAGAGAGAGTCAGTGTCATCATGCATAGTTCTGTCCTCAACTTCAACTGATCACTGAAAAATCACAGAAACTCTTCAGTGGAAGAAGATGAAGACGACACTCGCTCTCCTTCTAATCATGGAGCTCTACTGTCTCTCCTCCGGTCTCAAACAACATTTCTTCGTGAATGAGCAGAAGTGCAAAACTTATTTTCATGTCCTCTCCACCTTCATCAATGCGAGTGAGGAACAGCGATTTTTAGCTAATGCGTCTGGTCAAACTTCTGATGCCTGGGTTGGACTCCACAAAAAGCCCGAAACAGGAGTCTGGAAGTGGGAGGAGTCAGGAGATATAGATGCCAAACAAATTAGCTGGGATACTGCATTTAATCAACCAAATAACCTTAGCAATAAAAACTGTGGCTTTCTATACAAAACCAATAATAAATTGCATTATGAAAAATGCAATTTCACTAAACCCTTCTTCTGCATGACAAACGTTGTTCTGGTGCATCAGAAAGAGACCTGGGAAGGAGCTCTGGAATACTGCAGGACTCATTATAATGATCTGGCAAGTCTGAGCACAGCGGACAAGATGAATTCTGCTTTACTGGAAATCACACAGGCTGAAACAGTGTATGTGTGGACTGGTCTGCATTATCTAGCAGGGGACTGGTTCTGGGTCACTGGAGATGATCTTGACTACACAGCCTGGTATCAGAACGAACAGCCCCAGTGTCCTGCCAGAGACCTTCGTTGTGGAGCCCTGGACAAGCAAACAAGGGTTTGGACACACAGAAACTGTGAGGAGAAGCTCAGCTTCTTTTGTCTGTAGATGGTATATCACTTGAACAGCTTTTTCAGGATCCCAGATTTTAACTTTAGAAAGATATAATGCCATTACAATATTTGGGCCAGCTGACATCTTTTTTACTGTGATTCTCATATGTTATTGCAACCTTTAATAGCAACAGTTAAACATTTTCATTACTAATAAACATCAGCTTTATTGCTAATCTTGTATGTAATCCATTTTTTTTCTCCCATTACTTTAGTGGTAGTTTAGAGGAGCTGGATAGGGGCTACATATATTTTACTTATTTATGTCAAATTATGTTAAACTGATCATTTAAATGCTATTGTTGTAACTCCTGGATGCATGAAATTTTATTTTATATATATATATATATATATATATATATATATTTGAATAATTATTCTTATTCTTATTATTGCTGTTGTTACTTCTGAATTAAATTTAATTATGTATCTTTTTCTCTTATGTTGCACAGTGATGTTTTTGAGAGTATACCTGTCCACTGTACACCATGTATTTGGGTTGTAATGCAATGTAAAGTAAGTCAATGGCCATTACTGGTGTCATTTTAAGTAGTGTCACTTGTGAAAATCTTTACAAGACCTTTGGATATTTGTAGAGAGAATTTGAACTCCATTAATGAAAGAAATTGGGAAATGATTATGTAAGTGGATATGGAAATTAAATATAAATTGCAAGAAATTTTGGGATTCAGTTTCGTTAATATATGGTTAATTAAGCAAATTTGTGGCATTGTTTATTTTTTATTTTAATTTTAATTTTTTTTTAAATTTCCAATTCAAACGGAAATTTCCTGGCTTTTTTCATGATAACTGAAAGGTGCTATGTAACTACCATATAAGTTTCAAAACAGTCAATCCACAGTCAAATGAACAAAGCCTGCATAAAGTAGATGTGATTTTTCACGAACCGTTGTGACTTCCGTAAAAAGATGACGTCAGAACTACTCAGTCACCGCCTTCAGTCCCCACCCGAGCACTGCCCACAGTCCCACTC